GCTCACAAAAAGAAAGCAACACAAAACAACCTAGTCTTATTCTCAGTCTTATATCTTTATTCTAAAGTGTTATTATTTACTGCTTGTAATTTTCTTTCTTCTTAGTTATTATATGAATCAAAAAGAATATAAGAGTTGTCATTATGTTGGTCAATGACTAAATGAATATCAAAGCTGATTTTAGTGAGACAAGAGTGAAAGCAAAATTATTCATGAAACCTTAAGATACAAATACCTAATTCCTTTCAAAAAAATCATTAAATATTAACAAAAGAAAAGGATATAATTATGGAGTGATAACAGAGTTGGGGTTCAATAACAAACTAAAGAGAGAATTTGCTGCATATAAAGTATTGTATTGTAATATGGAGTTCCATAAAGCATGATCTACAGTACTTAAATTGAAGTTTTTTGACCTCACTCAAAAAAAGTATTTTCCAGTGTAATAATAAATTATAACATCAAAGATATGGTCATGAATGATTAAACTATAAGGAAACTGCCAACTAGGGCAGTAAAAGGTTAATATGGAAGCAATAAGCCACTAAGTTTAAATACGGCAATATGCATAAATACAGAATTCTGTAGGCATAGGGTAGGACATATATATTGAAGAAAAATGCTGACTACTGCATGCTTCAATTTTTCAAATTCCACAAGACTCTAGGGATCATCATTTAATTACACCGATCTTCACAAAACAAAACAAAGTGTCGAAAGGTTTACTATCACCAACAGTTCTAAAAATTATAACAGAAAAAACTATAAGAGAAAAGCTTTTGTGGAAAGTTTGATTCGTGAAAGGATAGTAATGCAATGTTTCAAAGACTTAATATAAACTAAAAGTTCACAATTGATTCATTCAAATAAAGGACCTATAGCTAAAAACTATTTTAAATTATAAATAATTCTCATCTGATTCTGGTCAGTCAGTTGAAAGCCGTTGTTTTGTATATGAAATATTAAATTTAATTGGCAGAATTTGATATTTTATTTAACTAGAAAACTGATGAATTCATTCAATTCACTGGTTTTGCCAGTTCAATTTAAAAATTCATACACAAAGCTACATCTTTCGACTGATTAGATTTATGAGTTCAGATTATGATTATCTAGAATTAAAAATGGTTACTAGTTATAAGACCTTTTGTAGAAATAATCCATAGTCTAATGATACAGCTCCTAGAAATCCAACAGATAGTATGATTTGGCCAATGTGGAGAATATTTTCAATACTTTCACCAAAACTTAAAAAAAAACAATAAAATAATCTTAAAAATTTCTGAAAGCAAAAGATCAAAATGTAACTATGGCTTCATGCAATGATTGTATATGTGCAATGAAGCAAATAAGTATGCTTGTGAAAACTTTATAATTTTAATATGACGAAAGAAATTTCAATTTAAATAATTTAAGCTTTATCACTTCACCATTTATTCATGAACTTGTCACAATGTTTTGGCCAATTTAAGTCATAATTAGGTATATTCGATAAAGGATTCAAATCTGTAGTAGAATAATATTACCAATACACTTCATAATTTTCTTAATTGGGCTATTCAATATTTGTTTTTATCTGAATAATGATTACATGATTCTAATGTAAGTTAGCTTTAGTCAATTAATAATTTATTATGTTATATTGAGGGTCCAAGCTGTTATAAACTTGCTAGAGTGTATTAATTCAATAGTAATTTTAAGAAATGTTATGAATACAGTAAAACTAAACAATCAAGAATACAATGAAATGTAATTTTAGTACAGATTTGTATTCTTTATAAAATAAATCTGATGATGAGTTGAATCAGCCAAAGCACTGTGATAAGTGCATCAATGAATGGTGAAGCATACATTATTTAAATCATACTTAAGTTCATATTTTGGGATAAAGTGACATTTGAAGAAAGAATACATGCATTATTTTATAAATGGATCATGATTGGTATAAATTGTCAAGTATACCTACCTAAAAAGTTTATTAATTTTTCAAAAAAATATGGGCTGTCAGTAATAGTTATGAACATATAAGATAATCAATCAGTCTATGCTGTAAGATATAATGATTTCTAAAAAAAAAAAATATATATATAAATATTAAGAAAAAAACAATAACTAATTTAATTATTTAGTCACTGAACTAGGTTATGTGCATCTAGGCCTTGTTTTATTAATTTCAGTTATTCAATAGTTAAATTGTAGGTAGAATAAATTAAATCAAACCAAACACAGAGTAATGTTATTTAACAATAATACTTATAAATAATTATATTTAGATGGGATTTTATTTTTTTCTGTTGGCATTACAAACCTTGTAGATCTTTTACCATCTTAACAAGCCTACTCCATCTCTGCCTGTTTTGGGCTATTTCATACCAGTCTTCTGTACGCAGATCTATTACATCTTTGTTGATTCTATCCATTCATCTGCTTTTTGGCCTTCCATGTTGTCTTTTGCCTTATATTGAGGCATTCATTATTATATAGAGACCTCCAGATGGATTGCTATGAGGTACATGCCCCACCCATCTTAACCTACATTACTTCATTTCATGGGGTATTGATTGACCAGTTTCTGTAAACAGTTTTTTATAGGTCTTACTTTTCCATGTGTTAGTACTCTGATCCCAGATTGCACCGGTTATCGTGCAGAGGATTTTTCTCTCAAATCTTTCAATACTTTTTTCTAGGATGCTGGTCGGTGTCCAGGTCTCACAGCTATATATTATAACTGACTTTATCATAGCATTGTCTACACTTAATTTGAGATTTATTATGGAGAATTTCAATACTTTTGAAAGGGAGAAGAAAGCTTTGTTTCTTGCCAAGAAGTATTTGAATTTTTCTACTCTGGGGAAGTATTTCTTTCTATACAGATCCTGTACTTGGGGTGGAATTTTTGCTTTATTATCATACATTTTGTTTTATCTTAATTTACTTGTAGACCAATCTATACTGCCTCTCTTAGCAGAATCTTAGCGAGATTCTCAATGTCCTATTGATTACTTTCAGGGTTAGCTCAATCATCCGCGTATCAAAGGATTTTACGATTCATTCTGAAGTGGACTCCTCCATTTTTTTTAGATGTTGTTCTTATCACCTTCTCCAGGACTAAGTTGAACAACATTGGTAGTAGTCCATATATAGATGGGATATTAAAAAAAAAAAATAATAAACCAAAGTTAAAAGAAAAAGAAAAATATGTCTGAAATAATTGTTTTGAAACATATTTAATTATTTTAGAACATTTTTAGTCATATTCCCAGTTCAAATATAAGTCTTTGCCACTTTTTATGCTCTTCTTACATTCATTGGTTCATAATTTCTCCTTTTACACCACAGATACATATATATTAGAGAAAAAAAACAACTTCCAATATAATTTCCTTAATCACATCAGATCTACTAAATATAGTCAATGTGATTACTCCCTAGAATAAATTATACTTTAAACTAATAATTTTAGATATTTATTACAAAATATTATTTAAGGATCATATGGCCATGGAAAAAAATCGCAACTGATGTAACAAAACAGTGACTCTGGAATGAACCCTGAAAATGGAGGAACACTTCAAAACATTATTTGAATAATGTGATTGAGAATAAAGGACATTATATTGGAAGTAGTTTTCACTAATATATACACTTATGTATATATTTTGAATAAGGATACTTACAAAATACTTTTCAATAGTTAATTTCATTCGTTGACATTTCAATTTTTTTTTTTTAAAGCTTCATTCCAAAATTATTTCAAGCCATCTACAGCCTAAATCACCCACACCACATATTCAAACCATTTTCACTCTATAGTTCTAATCTATACTCTAATTGGTTCTAGCCTATTTATCGGGGTAGGAGTATTTTTTCTTGACTCAGTATCAATGATTCAGCAGCATAGAGGATAAAATTTTGATAAATTCTTAATTTCTATTGTCCACTTCCACAAAAAATAATATATATATATTTAAATGATTGTGTGTGTATGTATGTATGTATGTATGTATGTATGTATGTATATATATATGTGTGTATATTAACACAATGATTATTTAAAAGTTGTGAAATCAATCTTAATCTGATAAAAAACAATGTATAAATATATATTATAAATGAACATATGAAATATGTCCAGAAGTTTAATAAAAATAAAATAAAATTATATTTCACCAAGAAATTCAATATTATTTTCTTCAAAATGCTTTGCCCAAACAATATATTTGCACCAGCCATACTGTGAATGACTTGACTTCGGATGTAACATGCCAATTTAAACGTGGCTATTTTTCAAGTTCCATCAGTATAGAGCTCTTTTAAAGAACAGTGAATCAACATCAAATGTCTCTAAAAACTGGGTGAGAATGGCTGTGAAATTTATTCAATAGCAGAGAATAGAAAAAAAACTAGGAAATCAAGGATATAAAACATAATTGTTGCAGTTAGTTTTATCAATTCTTGAGGCATTGTCCTCCAGGAATTCAACTCTCTACATCAGATAGTAAATGGAAACGTTTAGATTGACGTTTCCAGACCCTTCAATATAGGAGAACAGCAGATCTTTTCTTGTGATAATGCTCCTGCACCGAATTTGCTAGTTGTGCATGGCATGAGACTTTAGCCTGATATTTGATCACCATAATGGCATCACTCCCTTATTCATCTAATAAAAAGGCACCATGTGACTTTTTATTATTTCCCAA